TCTAAGAACTTTGCTGCTCCAGGCCCAGATGGGCTGAACACTTATTGGTGGAAAAAACTACCAAGATCCCACCGCCATCTGGCCAGTGTTTTCAACTCATGGTTGGCCGGAGAGCAGCCGATTCCGGATTGGTTTGTCGAGGGGCGGACCGTTCATATCCCCAAAAGTGGAGATTTGTCGATTCCTGAGAATTACAGACCGATAACATGCTTGAATTCGTGTTATAAGTTGTTTACAAGAATCTCATACACAAGAATACTCATCGCAGTTGACCGAGTGTTCGAAAGGATATATGAGCAGAGAGGGTCGAAGAGAGGAGTCGCTGGATGTAAAGAGAACCTGCTCATCGATAGATGTGTAACGCAGGACTCTCTATGGCCTGGATCGATTACCGTAAGGTATTTGATACAATTTCGCATGAGCTCATCTTGCATTTGCTCAGATGCCTTGCGGTACCCGACAAAATAGTGAGATGCATTGAAGAACTGATACCACTTTGGCGAACTCGCTTTACCATAACATCTGGTCAAGCAAGAGTCCAAAAAGGGTGGGTCACTTTCAGAATGGGTGTATTTCAGGGTGATTCTCTCAGTGCCCTTCTCTTCTGCATCTCACTATTGCCATTATCCGTTTCGCTCAGAAACACTCGAGGGTATAACTGTGGCATGAATAAAAACACTTCTGTCTGATTATCACTAATTAATTTTATTTATACGGCCGGTTTCGGTTTTAACCCCATCATCAAGTATGATACCCCATTGATAATGGGGTTAAACCCGAAACCGGTCGTATAAATGAAATTAACTAGTGGTGATTAGACAAAAGTGTTTTTATTCATTTTATTAAATTTTTTCTGATCAGTTTCATTGCAGCAATCCTAGTCTCACTGACCATTAACCCTGGTCACGTGATAAAAAAATCAATTACTAGTTCCTTGCTTAATAAACATAATTTCATTATGTTGTTCACTTTTCAGACAGACGGATAGACAGACATATTTATTGGTGCTTTTAACAAACATGTTCTTTCAAACGAGTTAGAGATATTGGTACAATCATAAAATCATAAAATGTGACAATTTGGAATGCATAACTCATAAATATTAGCCATGGACATGTAATGTCAATTTAATAATTTTAGATAGCTACTAGTAATGTCTTTGTTAGGTAGGAATCTTGGCTCTGAAGTACATGTTTTTTTTTAAAAAGTAGGTGTAGTAAATTCCTTGTTTCAGGCTATTAGTTAGCTACTATTTGGGACCGTAATACTTTTTCGAAATCATACTTGTGTTCAACATAAAGTGTTATTTTATGTCTGATACACTACAAAATTCATAATTGGATATCAACTGTTTATATTTTTTTTTCACGAATGATAGATTTCAGAGATTCAATAATAAAACATCCTTGTACAATATCTTCTCAACTTTCTGTTGTGATTTAGAAGCGCCATAATTTATATAATGAATACTTATTTGTTTTTTTTTTGAAATATACATCGATATGTCAGCTTCATAACAAATGTGTTCTATATAGACTCTTAAAAACCCAATGAATCAATCGATCAAATTCAATGCGATTATATAAACATCAAGTATATGCAGCCTCATGAAAAAAGATATAATAATAATTATAATTACACTCTTCCTAAGGTTTCATTAACCAAGTTGACGACTTGAAGTTATGAAGAAAACTAATTCCCAATTTCCAGACTTAGGTTCTATTTACATCTAACACTTTCCGATAACATCAATGAATTCGTCTACAAATTTCAACAGGGCGGTTCATAAAAATATATACAGTGGGCTGTTTACAATAGGACCTTTGCCACTGTTCAACTGCTATAACTTGCTACACTTTGCTTTTTCTAGCATCCAAAAGTTCAGTGTCATGTATCGATTTCAACAATTTCTGACAGTTTTCATTCATTCTATGGCCGTTCACTACATTTTTTATGTCTTCGAAATCGGATAGGTGCTGTGTGTTCTTTGAAACGAATTTAATGGCGCGCTTAGTCTCACCGATATATTGTGATTGTGTATCTCAAAATGTGGTTTTCCGTTAACAGTCTGTCACTCTTTTACGAACGATAACAAAAGTCGAATCTTCAAAGAGCTGAGGTTTGACGAGGTCTTACCTTCCAACGTGCGATTTTTAGCACGGGCTGATCGATAAGCAGCACCAAGAACCAACCTGGACAACAGAGACAAGAACAAATATTTTTGCGACAATTCACATTTGGGTTATGTCCGTTATTAATTATAATCGCAATCGCAAGTTGAGGTAAACTTACACCTTTTCCTTCTTAATGTCAATGCCTTAACATCTGAACAGGATACACAAAAAATCCCATTAAAAATGACGATTAATTGTGTTCGTTATCAAAGAATGGAACGAGAAAATTAAAGAAGTAATAAGAGAGCTGTCTTCGTTCAAATTACTTCCTGTTGGAATTTGCTGATGGACGAAGATGCAAATAAAATTATTAGTGGAAGTTGTTTAATTGGTTGATCGAATAAAGGTGATTCGTTTGACTAATTTGGAACTGTTGAAACATTTATCAAATTTATATTATTTTGAATTCTTTCGTTATATCGAAACTAAACTCTGAGAAAAAAATGTAGTCAAGTTAGTAGGCTGATGTTTTGATTTGGGACTAGCAATTTCGAAACTTCGCCAGATTGCCCGATTTTATGAAACGAATTTTCATTGGAAATATCATTGAATTAGTACCATATTATATAATAGATAATTTCAAGGGAATAAAACATGCGTTTTATTCTGGCCTCAGTATTTGTATTCATTCAGTATTCATGAAAAACATCTTTTGGGCCAATGTTCAAAATATTTTTCTCGAATCCGCTGAACGCAAAACAGTCTATTTTCGAACTCATTTCCAACATTATGGAATATTTCTGGGGTAATGCTAGCACAAGTTTCGGTAATTCTGTTCTAAGTTCTCGTATTGTACCAGGTTGCGTAACATGAGCATTCGATTAAACATAGCCCAAAAGAAAAAATCGAGGGGAGTCAAATCCGTTAATCGAGCAGGTCGTTCCAATACCGCGCCTACTAATTCGCATGCCTTGGTATGTCTGATCCAACAAATCCCTCACAGGTCTGTGAGGGACTTGTTTTGACATTTCGTTTGAAATTTACATCCCACATCGAAATTCGTATATTTTACCCCAAACTTCCTGGACAACTTTTTATATAAGGACATTTTTTGACTACGAAGGCGCTGAAGGGCTACATATTATTTTTATTTTATAATCGACAGTTCAATCTGTCGATAATACATTACCCATTAGCCAAGATCAAACTATGGTTTGAACTGTCTATTGAAGATAATCGACTGTTTGAATTGTAGACTATAGATAATCAACCGTTTGAACTGTCGATTAAAGATAATCGACAAGCGACAGTTTGAACTGCCGATTATAGATAATTGACAGTCGACAATTTGAACTGTGTATCATAGATAATTGACAGCCAACAGTTTGAACTGTCGATCATAGATAATTGAAAATTTGAAATGTCGATTATAGATAATCGACAGCTGACAGTTTAAACTGTCGATTGAAGATAATCGATAGTTTGAACTGTCTCTTATAGATAATCGTCAGTTTGAAATGTCGATTATAGGTGACCGACAGCCGACAGTTTGAACTGTCGATTATAGATAATCAACAATTTGAACTGTCGATGACAGAGATGATCGACAGCCGATCATCTCGGTCATCTCTGTCATCTCAGCCGATCATTTTAGATAATCGATAGTTTGAACTGTCTATTATAGATAATTGTCAGTTTGAAATGTCGATTATAGGTGACCGACAGCCGACAGTTTGAACTATCGATTACAGATAATCAACAATTTGAACTTTCGATGAAAGATAATTGACAGCCGACAGTTTGAACTGTCGATCACAGATAATCGAAGCCGAAACTTTGAATTATCGATTAAAGATAATCGAAAACCGACAGGTTGAACTGTCAATCATATATATTCTACAATTAAACGTGTCGATTATAGATAATTGACAGTTTGAACTGTCGATTATACATAATCGACAGCTGATAGTTTGATCTTTCGATTAAAGATAATCGATAGATTATATTATATATAATCGTCAGTTTGAGCTGTCGATTATAGATAATCGACAGTCGTCAGTTTGAACTGTCGAATATATATTATCGATTATTTGAACTGTCGATTGTAGATAATTGATAGCAGATGGACAGTTCAAACTGTCGGTTATAGATGCTCGTAAGTTTGAACTGTCGATTATATATAATCCAACATCGATTTTTTTATATCCTGAAGATGCCAAATCGGTTAGTGAAATGCGCGTCGATAAGAGTATTGCAGTTCTGATGATCAACAAAAAAATTTGCTTTTCACACCAGAAGTTTCAGTTTCACCTTCTACATGTATTTATATTGATTACTCACTCGATATTCATTGTAATTTTCTGAATATTTTTGCTCCAGCACAATTTACTGTTGAGTGTACGTCATATCCTGTCAATTATGTTACTATTGTGGGTTCTTTGTGAATAGGTGGTATTAAATTCCATAATTACCCATTGCCTTCACAAAATACCATTCAAAAACATACGAGTATCGTGCAAAACATACCTCATTAATCACATGATCCGAATAAGTTCACAAATACACCTGAAAAATATAGAGATACTGATTTTCTACATAGTCTTGCATTGAATTTCACTCTTTTTTAATGTTATACGATTCTACTGACTGATTACCAAAAAATTTTTATGAATATATGAACCCCTGTATATTTTGTCTTCTAGAAAACATCAAAAAATGCCGAAAACGTTTTTTTCCTCTACAAAATTACTTTTAATTGATATTTTAAACTTACGACCAAAATAGTTAATATGATTTTTCAGTGAGCAGATAACAGGGCCGTACTTGCCAAACTTCAACATATATTTCCTGGCAAAAAGTTACTCATCTTGTTTCTTTCATTTTCAGCATTTTTTTCTACACTTTCTCGCATACATTTCCTTGGTGGCAAGCCATCCACTCCTTTCTCAACCAAGACTGAGCGAAGTAGAGTGGGCCAACTACAATTACCACGAACCACAGGGGCCAGGGACGTACGCTTTCGGATACGATATAGAAGACCCATTGACGAACAATATACAATTCAGGGACGAAGAAAGATATCCCAATGGAACTGTCGTAGGCAGTTACGGCTACGTGAAACCCGATGGCAATATTCATATTGTGAAATATACTGCAGATGAAAAAGGATATAGGTGAGTTAGTTGTGAAACGAATCAATTGATTATAGTTCGTTCAGTATCGTCTGAGAGTAAAAAAATTTCAAGAATGCAAACATGTCGCTACATCAAAGAAAGCAACATAGTCATCTCAAGCAAATATCACTGCAATTCACCCACAAAATCATTGAGATATGCCTACCCTCTATAACCCTTGAGGACGCCGCTAACGAGCCATTAATATGGGGATACGCGACAAAGAACACGAAAACACCGACAAAGAATGCGAAAATATCGCCAAAAGAACCGCTCGATATTTTTTCTGATATTATGTTTTAGATAATATTAATAGGCGTCGGACTGGGGGTATTAATATACATTTTTCATTGATATATTCTGTATGATGAGAAGATAATTAAAATAAGGTGAAAACAAATTTTTTTTAATATTTTATTTCGGGAAGGACAGTATATTTGAAATAGTTTTTTATTATTTAGAATTGTTACCTTCTACAGATCTATAAAATAATCAGAATATTAAATTTACAAATAAATACAAATGTAGAAATAACAAAAAGTTACTACATTTGACAAATTAGCTTTTTGGAAAGAAAAACAAAATTTTTCATTAACTTGAATTTAAAAAATTTTGCATAGAAATATGTATCATCTGGTGACGTTTTAAAGAATCTATCCATTTTCTTTATCCAACCTATTTAAATAAAAAAATTATAATTTGTAGTTATGATTCGTCTTTTGATGTAAACAAATTTGATATTATTATTATCATTGACACTGATAATATTAAATTGATCGTCGGTATGATAATGAAGATGGATAAAGTACTCGAAACATCACCAGACAAGCATACAAATAGAATAGATTTTCGCGGTTAAAAATTTGAACATCTGATTTCGAGTTGAACCGAGTGATGATAAGACGACGACATTTTCCAACTGGAATTTTCAAACCAGTGGACCAACTTTCCATAAAGGCTTGTCTTCCACTGTTGATGTTCTGATCTTGCCAAATCTTAAATCCCTTAAAGAGTTTCTTCTCCATTCTACAATCTCTGATTTTTCTATTAACATGCTCCTCCTATCTTGCTTTCCAAAAGTCCGAACACTTTCTACCAATTGATACTATCGGCTCGAAAAAGTTGTTGTCTTCCTTGAGTTCCTTGAGAATTCTGAAAATTGTCGATCTATTGACACCGGTCACACTCGCGCATTTTTGCACTACTTTCTCCTTACTTTTTATTTCAGGCTGATATTGTATTCTTAAAGAATTATAATATACATTCATAACAATTGTTTTTTTCATTTATATTTAATGGTGACAATTTTGGACGCTTCACGATTCCCGAGCAACTAGCTTCTATGTTGTATAGCTGTTTATTCAACGCGCTCTCGAAGTAAACTGAAGAATATCACGAATAACCCCGCTAAAAAGCCAAGCCGGTCTTATTGATGGGTGCGATGTGTCTGTTGACAGTATAATTCAAAGGAATATCTATTTATACCGCCTTCAAAAAAAACAATGTTTTTTCAATCCCCTTCAACTGAATACATTTGTCATAGTAGATTTGTTATTTTGTTTATTATGAATGATGTTTTTCAAGAATAAATATTGTATTTTTGTGGTATACATTAATTTATTCAATTCTTTGAGAGTAAATAATTTGAATCCAGTACGTCTATGGCACTAAAATTTATAGTAGTAGTAGTAGTCTCTCTCATTTCTGAACAGACAATAGCAAGTATTGAAACAAACATTTTGCCATACACTAGAATTACAGTATTTTTCATGAATGCGAATTGTGATAATATTGTCAAGAGATGGCTAAAGCCAATTGTTCCTTTATGGGATCAAAGTAACAACCCTTCATTGGTTCCGATAGAATTCAAATGGTAAAGTTGGGGAACAAAAATTCTAGTCATTCGAAAATCACCTGTGGAGTCCCCCAAGAATCAGTGCTCGGTCTCATTTTGTTCCTTATCTATGTGAATGCCCTATCTAATATCGACATACAAGGAAAGTTTACAATGTTTGCAGACGATACAACTTTACTATGGCATGGAAATAATACAGACTCTCTGAGAAATATAATTGAAACTGATTTAGAGAAAGTCAAATCTTGGTGTGATTCAAATTCTTTATGTTTCAATGTGAATGAAACTAACATAATTTCGTTAGAATTCATTTCGGGAAACCTAAGCCTTCAGAAGCATGTCATCGAAAATAAGACGTGCACCAAACTTTTGGGATTATGGATTGATAATACCCTGAAGTTTAATGAACACGTAAAACATCTCAACAAAAAACTTGCATCTGGCCACTACGCTATGAGGGTCATCACCAAGGAGTTGGGAATAGTAGCAGGAAAAACATCTTACTTTTCATTAGTCGAGTCTCGTCTGAGGTATTAGGGCGATAAGATATATATGTAGAGCCAAGTGTTTGGACCACTGTAGACCACTCTTCATAAAGAGTAGAATACTAACAATCTACTGCATTTCACTAGTTCGGACTTCCATTGTCTACTATATGAAACGATTTGAAATCCCTGAAACAAGTAAAAAAGAATAATTAAAAAAGAATAGTTGAAAATAACAATTATATTAAGCAACAATAAACCTGAAATGAAATGATAGTGAAATAACCTTCAAGTAAAAATATAATAATTGAATAAATAAAAATTAAAGGAATGCAAAAA